TTTAATTTAGCAAATAAAATATATAATGTTTAAAAATTTATAAATAAAAAATTAAAATAGTTATTTTTATAGAATAGTAAAATCGAACCTAAAGAATAAACTTATAAAGTTTATCTTTTAAATTAATTAGTATTTAATAGAGTTATTTTCTTTTAAAGTTAATCAATTCTATTAATAATTAAATTAAAAATTTGGCCGTCTTAATTTTGGCCAAAATTTCTAATAATTTTTTAATTTTGCCCAAAATTATTAATAAAATTTTTATTAAAAAATTTATCATATAAAAACTTATTATTAAAATAAAAAAATCTTTCTTTCCTTCCACTTACTCACTCACACTCACTTTCTTTTTCGAATATATATTCTTATTATCCAATCATATTAACTTATTTGCGTGTAACATATCACAAAATTTGGCCGTTATGACTTGTTGATTTAAGGACAAATTACATGAATGGCTTATCTGTTTTATTGGCTGAATTTTTTTTTTTTTTGTAAAATAGTCAGCCCGGTCGACCGGGCTGCACTATATTAGTGTCAGCCCCAGCCCAAAGTTTTGTTATCGGCCTATATCACTACATTAGAGAAAATGTTTTTATTAGGCATTTAACCTATTTCATTAAAATGTGAAAAAATTGAAAATTTTTTTTAAGAACAAACATTTGATTATTGTAATTGCCATGTTATTGATAACTATACTACGCACCACTATTTTATCATCTTTGTTTCGTAAAAATATTAAAATATAAATTTCGTGTAGTATTAAATAAAATATCTGATTGTCGATATTCGTAGTAATTTTATTATATGGGGGGTGTCAGTAGAAACCAGGCAAATTGTTTTTATAAAACATTAAATTAAATATCTCAACTATTAAACCAAACTTAATAAAATTTTTTTATTTTAATTATATAACTAAATAGCATTAAATAAAAAATTTTTTATCAAGTTTGGTTTAATATTTGTTGAGATATTTTAATTTAAAGTCTAAAAACAATTTGCCTGGTTTCTACTGACACCCCCCATATGCATTATAATTTAAACCTTAAAAAATACCTGGGTCCGTTAAGGCCTCAAATATTTAATTGCATTCTTTAATATATATCTATAAAATAGTAATTATTTCCGCCTCAAAAAACTAACCCTAACCTAAAATATTATTTATATACGCATGTGATGAGCAATATACGCGTCAGCGCAAAAATTTGTTTACACAGATGTTTTAATTCGTACATTTAAATTTTATTATGAAGTGTACACTAAAGATACTATAGAAGCTTAAATAAAATTTCTATATCCTAATGAAGTGTACAGATAAATCTCAATTCAATATCAAGTTAATGTACAACAAGGATTCTACTTTTCGGATGTTGCTTAAATTTTATATCGACCTTGCTTGTATTTTATGTTCATCCATTTTCTATTCGAAACTTTTCGGACAACCCATATCTCTTTCTTTCATCTATTATATCATAAACGTTATATCATTTTTTTTATGTACGATATACAGTCGCCTTCAAAAGTTTAACACGATTACATAAAAAATAATATACAAATCAAACGGCAAAATATTAATGAATATACAACTGACTCTTGATATAAAATTACTTTAGTATCATTCGGTTCGTCTCATCAAATCGAATCGAATGGTATTAAGATCATTCAATTTGGATCGTAGGGTCAGAGTTATTAATAATCGTATGTTATACGAAATTGGAAGAGGGTATTGGAGTATAGTGGCGGATAGGGGTAATTTGGCGAATTGCAGATATCTCGTGAACCCGTAATACCACCATTCAATTCGTCTCATTGAGACGATTCGAATGGTAAAAAATCGTTTGATTTCAATCACTGGATCACGAGATATTGGCGTCCGAATATATTTTTTTAATATTATTCGGACCCAATATCTCGTGACTCGGTGATCGAAATTAAGCGATTCACTCGATGAGATGAGTCGAATGGTCTGATTACGATTACAAAATCTCGAGATAGCCAAATTATTCCTATTTGCCAAATCACCCCTGCCCACCTTAGTTATTATGAATACAGTATTATAATTTATAATTTTAGGTTTAATTTTTTATTTTAACAATATATAAAATTTGGTATAAAATATAAAATTAATTAAAATTGAGAAAAGAAAAAGCAATAGCTAAAAAAGCTTCATATCCGCGGATATTTGGATTACTATTTAAAAATTCCAAAAGCTTTAATTATGAATAACTTTTGATTCACCGGCCCGTTTTGGGTGATTTTATCATCGAGATGATTCTAACGAGCCCAAAATCATTATGTGATTCCGAGATCGTTAAGGATTTGCGTCACTTCGGGTGTTTTGGTTTAATCAATCTTAAAACACCAGAAGTGATGCAAATCTAGGTTTTTACCCGGGTCGAATGACCCGTACGGGTTACCCGACCCGACGGGTCAAATTTTGGTCAAACGGGTCAGAGCTCAATCTATATCAGAACTTTATGGAATTTTTGCCAGCCATCTTTCGATAAATTTATCCACCAATCACAATCCACCTATGTGATTTTATCCTTTTTTTGCTTAATTATGCGATGAGAAAAACGGGTAAATATGCGTATATTGTGCTTTCGCATAATCCTGAGCACCCTAATCAGAATCTTGGCGGGTCAAAAATTGGTCCGACCCGGGTCAGTTACTTAGTTTTCCTGGTTTTTCCGATGTGGTAAATGAAAGAACTCAAATCACGAGCAAGGCGGAGAAATTTTTCTGGAATGAAATCCGAAAAGTTATTGGCCTTGGCATATATAACGGGTTGTAACCCGGGTCAGAAAGGTTCAACCCGGGTCGCTATTTTTCGACCCGGGTAAGATCCCTATGCAAATCCTTAACGATCTCGGGATCCCATGAATGGATTTTAACGATTTTGGGCTCTTAGAATCGTCTCATTGTCACTCAAAACGGACCAGTGAATCAAAAGCTATTCATGGTTAAAGATTTAGAATGTTTAAATAGTAATTCCAAATATCCGCAGATATGTGTTAATTAATAAAATATATAGAAAAATAAAATAAAAAATATACTTATTAATTGATCTAATTTACTTGTAGTGAATACCATGATATTGGTTCTAGTTGTAGTAACCACAATGACATGAACAAAAAACATAACCAATTTTATAAATAATTTAATAATACATAATTTAAGTAATGGTTTTAGATATTAAATAAAATTCAACCATTAGGGGGTTTCAGAACTAGCTTATTTCGAATATAAATAGGAGTTTAAAAAATCATAATCATAATTTCTGTTTTAAAATTCCGAAACAGAAAATTAAATAGGCGTAGCCAGTGATAAAATTAGCTTCTTTAATAAATACCTACCGATTATGTAAATAAATAAATATTTTAAAAAAATAAGATCTGAAATAAATATTTTACTTATTTTATTTGAAATCGGGCGTCGAATTATTAATTCTGAAACCCCTACTAAGTACAAACTAATTTTAAATTGCGCTTTGCAAAAAGGTGTGACCCCATGATTTTTGTGATGGTGATCGATGGAAATTTCGGAGATTCTAATTGTCTATTGATCAGTTATTTTATAACGTATCTTTATATTCGTTGAAATCTATAAAATTCTCTTACATGCAAAATCTAATTCCACGTGATTTTACATCTGCAGATATCACACCTTTTTGCAAACCGCAATAATAACACCCTATAATTTTTATTGCGCTAAGCAGAAAGATGTGATTTGGTGATTTTGTATTTATGATAGTGGAACATTTTTGAGATCCTAAATCTCTGTAGATTATATTTTTCGGAGTTTTTAAAATTTGCGGAAAATCAAAAACCCCCGCTAGAATCCGCTAATTCTCCGTGATTTACATGATTTGCAGAGGTCACACCTTTTTGCAAACCACAATAATAACAAACACAACAATTATGCAAAGATACTTATTAAAAATTCGGATTTTCGGCTGTTTGCAGAAAAGTGTGACCTCTGCGGATCATGTTATATGAATCAGCAGATTCTAGCTGTCTCAATAAATATATTATAAATATAGACGTAATTAATTGTCATAATCATCATGAAATCACGGTGTCACACCTTTCTGCAAACTGACATAAAACAATTATATACTTAAGAATCGATTCTAAAATATTTAATCGTTTGTAGAAACGATTAGAACGATTCTAATTCACGATTATCATAGAATCGATTGCAACTACCGTCTAGCTATATGGAATTCCCAAAATCGGTAGTGCGTGACTTACAACTAATAAATTATACCTTTATTTCTTAGGCTTCTCGTCAGAGGCGTGACTATAATGATTTGAACATATAATTAAAGAGTTACATAGAATTTTATTAGATAGTGTCACTTTCATTAAGTCATGGTAGACTTAATACCAGTTAGAATTGGTTATAATGTTGACAATCTCCTTCTCCAAAACATGAATATATAGACCTTGTATTTGACTTAGTCTTGTCTTTAAACTTCGTACTCACCCAAATATCTTATTATAAATATATTAGTACGACTACTCTGCGATATTCCTACCAAATTCGTATCTCAATCAAATTCATATATTTTGATCAGTCGTGGTCTAGTTATCAAATCTTGATGGGTTTGATATTATTCGTTTCAACAAGAAGATCTAAATGATACCAAAATCATGAGATATCAAGATATCAACGATGGTCCAAAATATACAAATTTGATTGGGATATGAATTTGGTGGAAAAATCGCACATCTTCATATACACATTTAGTTGTTGCCTCTTTCGATAAAGTCTTATTAAAATCCCTTTGTTAAGTCGTATATTTGCATCTCTAAATCACATAATCTTCATACTATAATCAACACGTCCCTTGAATTTTTATGATGTGAAGTTCGAGTGTGACAACACGATTAGATCGGTTGGTCACCTGTTATCGTTCCTTTATTTGTAATTTTATGAAAAAAATCTTACATGATTTAAAATAATAATAATAATAATAATTAGCACTTCCAAATATATTATCTTTAAACTTTCTAAATGTTATTTTTATTAAAAAAATTATCAGTAAAAAATTAAAATTAAGTTAAAATATATTCCACCTTTTAATTTCTTTAAGAACGTGTTTTTCTTCTAATTTAGTACTATGATGAATTTTTTCATAAAGAACAATATCCCAACCACATTCTTGTTGTTTCACCTCATCAAATACAATAATTTTATTCGCCATACTTTCTAAATTCTTCATTGTATTCTTTGACAAAAGACCATCACTATAAGCCAAAGAAAAATGATTAATTTGTTTTGGGCGAATAATAGTTTTAGTACTATTATCTAATAATACATTTGAGTTTGATTCATCAAAAGATAATTGAGATAATTGATTTACAAGATCAAGCATTTCTTGACATACTTGTACAGAAATTAAAAGAGAATTAGACATTGAAATAATGATATCTTTAACGAGTGGATAGGTAATATTATGATTATTATTAAGAAAATTATTTATAAATTGAATTATTTGATCAAGTTTTTTATAAGCAGATATATATTCTTTTGAATTTTCATAATCTGCATCAATATTACCATTAATAATTCTTTGATTGTCATATAAAGTAAAAAAACCAGTCATGGAAATATGTGGATCATATTGATGAGCATTATTTGGACCGAATAATTTTAAAGATTGATCATAAAATTTTAAAATACTTTGATAAAATTGGGAAGAGTGTGTAGGTTCGAGGTATAATATACAAGTAAGTTTTGAAGGCATATTTCAAAAATTGAGGTTATAGATGTTGATTGAACAAGTACACTACCGAATTTATAGGATTTTTACTTAACGTTAAGTATGCTTAAATAATTTTCACCGATATAAGACCAAAAGGAGTAAAAATTATGTAATACAATTACCGAATATTTTGCTTACGTACGTACGTACGTACAGTACGTACGGTATGTACCGGTATGTACCGGTATGCGTGTATTTTATTGTAAAAGAAAATAATTATAATACAGTACAAAAAAAGTAATAACAAATTAATTATTTTCTATATAGCATATTATTTAAAACCTCGTATCTTGACCAAACACAGATTCTCTAAATTTCCGCCATAAATTTTTTTTCCTTTCCCAACCATCAATTTCATATTCATTATCTTGACGAAAATATAATCTCAAAAATTTTTTTACATATTTTTTAATAATAGGATTATTTCCTTCAACATCATCATTTAAACAAAATATTGAGGGGTTCTTATTCATAATATTATTTAATGAAAGCCAGCTTTGATATGGTTGCTTAAGCATTACGAATTCAAATGAGATATCGCCTATTACATAATTGAAACGAGATATTTGTTCTACAGCGTGTTCACGGTAATTAAAATTTGCCTCTTCCTGAAAACTACTATTATTATTTGTGAGATTATTATTCGTGAGATTATTATTCGTGAGATTATTATTCGTGAGATTATTGTTCGTGATATTATCATTCGTGAGATTATCGTTCGTGAGATTATTATCTTTTAGTTTATTGTTTTCCTCTACTATCGGAGGAGATTCTGGTAAGAATGCTTCTAAACCCAATTCGCCTGATAAAGATAGAACTCTTGTAATTATACAATCGCCACATCGATATTTATCAAAAGCTAGCGTACGAAAAATCTTATTTATAGGAATACTATCGGTATTATTATTCATAAAGTCTTTTCCAAAACAATTATCAAAATCTATTATACATTTTGTATCATATAAATTTGGTCGAGAATTCCAAATAGGATATCCATCCATACTTGTCCAAGAATAAGTTGTTTCATATGGATGAAAAAGATCTGCATCAATAAGAGTTTTTGAATAATTACTTAATGATTTACGTTCAATTCTATGAACTTCATCGGTTCCAAGAATTTTTAAGATTTCTTGGCGTTCTGTTAATTCCCAATGACCATTATGATTCTTATCCATTTTCCATATTAAAAAACTTTTTAATAAAGTTTCCCGATGTTTTTCTATAACATAATGTGTATATAAAAAATTTGTGTGAATATCACGTTGTTCTCCACGAAATCGATGAGATGATGTTTCATGAAATTCTGTTGACCATTCAGCGGCGATTTCTTTTAAAATTGACGTTGAAAAGATGTGAGTTGAGTGAGAAACATACGCTCTGTGTCGAAAACCGAACCTTTGACCTAAATAAATAAACAAAAAAAAAAAATAATTAAAAGTTCATACTTAGAAATATCAAATAGTTTTTTTATCACGTTTTGGTCACTTTTAAAATTCTTAGTGAATGTTATTTATACTGTATAATTTGACTTCACATGATAAAAAAACTGCCATAAATTTTCGGGTAACAAGATTAGTTATATCATATAATTGCTTACTCAGTACTTACTCAGTAGTTTATTAGTATGACGCAGAGCATACCATTCACCAGGTTGAATTGGCAACCAATCGTGGTCGGGTGGAACAACCAGTTGTGATTCTATGTGAAATACATGGCCATATAATGGAGACCAAAAATCGCTTGGAGTTAAATATCTTCCTAAAAATAAATCATCATTAAAATATATGACCTGTTCTAACTTTAGTGATAAAGTATTTTATTTTATAAAAAAAAAAAAATCTTATAAATAGATTTAAATTAATAATACTCGTACTTGATCTGAAAGATTTGGAATATTCATCATTTGACTTTCAATTGCCAAAGAATTAAAAGTTGGCAATACAGTATTGTCGGTAAATACATCAGTATGTTTAACGATTTCAACTCTTGGCTCTTCGGTTCTAGGGTTTATCCAAGTTGTATTTAACCAACTGGGAATCTGCTTTGTTCCATTTTCAAGATCCGTGACGAGAATATAAATCTTATTTATATAATCCTTAAAAAATGTTTCAACAGATCTTATAGAATAACGTAATTCATCATAATCACGATAATAATGTTCTGGAATTCTTAAATTTAATTTCTTTACATAGGTTTCTTGCATCACTTTATAATTATCCTCACTACCATTCACCCATGTATATACAATGTCAAATTGTGCCTTATCACAAAATCCTTGTTTTTTTGATTCATTTTTTGATTCATTTTTTGAATCACTTGATCCAAAGGTACCTGTACTAATCCATTTTTCTACCCACGGTTCTTTTTTACAAAGGAAGGGTGAATAATTTTCTACCCACGGTTCTTTTTTACAAAGGAAGGGTGAATAAATTTGTTTATGATCTGGTACTGAAAGAAAATTTGGAATTTCTGCTGCATTATACGAGGTTGTTATTGAAAATATATAGATCGTGCACATAAACATTGATGCTATAAAAATTATCACATATTTCGGCAGCAAGATTATCTTTAAGGTTCGTTTTAATTTTAGAGAGGACATTTCTATATTTATGATTATTTACTTTTAATGACAATTTGACTCTTTTTTTCTATTCAAGAGAAAGTAATGTCAGATTCCTAGATTTTCAAAATGTCTCATTTATTTAAATCTCTCAAGCATAATCACAAATTATGCATAGAAGCAAATAAAATTATGTTAAAGACGAGTGATTTCTTTATATATATATATATATATATATCTTTGTTTGATTTTCGGAGCAAAATTTATCGGAGGTCATCTCTTAGCGTTACATTTCTCATCTATATCATCTTGGCATTAGGCGATCATTTCCATATCTGTGATTACTTTTCTTGGACTTCTTGGCAGAATTCACCAACTATGTTAGTAATTATGTATACTGCACTCACGCATTATTTTAATAATATACTTAACGTTAACAACCTACTTTCAAAACTGTCCCTATAAATTTTCCGATTAATATCATGGGTCTGATACATACATATGTACTTATCGTTATGATTTTATCTTTATTGCAATTTGATTAATTTGATCATATTTTGTAATTCATCTACCGCAAGAATCACGTTACCGATCTTCTATGCGTGACAAGATGAATAACAAAAAAAGGTAACTTTATAAAGTTTATCTTTAAAACTCATATAACTCATAAAGGACTTTCATATGATCTGCTAATCAGAATCATTTCGCAATAAATATTTAGTTCAAATTTTCAAAAACGTAACGTTTCACCAACAAAGAAAAATAGTCGTAAAGAGATTTGTGTACGACGTACGTACAGTACGTACTTTGGAAGTAAAACAATCAGCTAAAAAAGATGTTTTTATAAACCGCCCAATTGTTAACTGGAGCATAGTGGTGAATATAATTGAGAGCAATAATATTATCAGATATTTGTTTTATTTAAATTAATTAACTAGCCATAAATTTGAATTTTTGTTCAATAAATACAAATGCGTAACTGTTAATTAACAGATAAATAAAGAAAAAAAAAAAAAAAGTAATGAGTGTATTTGTCCATACGTAGCAAGAAAAAACTTGGCAGTCATTACCATATGTCTTTGATTTTTTCTTGCAATTAAGTTTAAAATAGAAAAAGCTTCTAAAACTTCAAATTTAATATAAAATATAAAATATTTGATGCGACTAAACAGCTTGTACACTATATTTAAAATACATAATCAATAAAGAGTAAAGCTTGGCTAATATTGTAATATAACTTATTTACTCGTATATTGAATATCTTTGACTTAATTTGTCAACTCTTTATTATAATCAAATTGACCAATCAAATGAATTTAAAATCACAGAGTTACCTTTTTTAGTACTACGCGTCCTTTCAATGTAACAGGTGATACCAAAGAATTGCTTGATAGTCTGAATGATTCTGTTAGAAATGTACGTACGTACAATTTCCTGAAAGACACGTTACTATCATTCTCACCAACAAAATTTTCTATTACTAAAATGAATATGAAATAGTAAAAGGTCTGATCCGATGAATAATAGGGGGTTTCGAATTAACTTTTTTCAAAAATAAGTGGGTGTTTAAAAGATGCTATTTCCTTTTTTAGATTCGAATCAAAAATTAAATAGGCGTAGCCAGTGATAATATTAGCTTCTTTTTTTTTTTTTGATAACATTCACAGGTAAGCGATTATGTAAATAAGTACATTAATAAAAATATGATACGTCGCTTCTTTTGTCACTTATTTTATCTGAATGAAATCGGACGTCAAATCATTAATTCTGAAACTCCATAGTACCGTCAAGGAAAAGCCTGTCATCGGACTTTTTACATTTTTGTGTACAGTTAGCCGTCTATGGAAAATCTATCATGGTGATAGAGTTTCCATATATGGCTTGGCTAACTATACAAAATTATACAGTCGCACCCTTCTAAGTGCACACTCCATAAGCGCAGGTATATGAAAAACTCCTCTAAATGCACACCCCTTTTGGTCCCAAATAATACAACGATTATAAATTTAACCCCTTTAAATGCACACCCTCTCTAAGTGCATATTTTGCCCTTTTTTTTCCTTTTTTTTTTACTATGGTCTCGAGGGCGTGCACTTAGAGGGGTGCGACTGTAATTGAATACTCTGTGATAATATAAGTTTAATACGGGTTAGTGTAGTAAAGCTTAAGATTGCGAACCTTTACTGTTACACTGCTCTTGCATTCATTCTTGTTGTACTCATATCAGGACTAAATTGATAAAGTTGCAATGAAATTTTAATGTTAAGAGAATCAATTTCTACTTAATAAGTAGTTTTAAAGTTAATATGAAAAAATTCAAAGAGAGTGAAAAAAAACGCTAATTTATCGCTGTTTTCGATTTATTAGAGTTCCAACCCGTCATCCGTTTATCCATATCTTATTATTGAACGCTCAGATATCCGGATAATCTGATTATCCGGATAAATGCTTAATGGATTGGAACTCTAGGATTGATAATTATTACTATATATTATTGTTATTATTGTTATTATTATTATTTATTTATTTATTTTTTGTGAGCTAGCCTCATTAGTCCCGTGATCACAATATATCACCTATATTAGTTATATTTGTGGAATTCGTTTAATGATGCTCTTTTACTGGGGTGTTCGATCATCCAAGTAAATCAAAATTATGTAAGTAACGTTAACCTTTTTTTAAAATAGAAATTAGCGTTATCTTCATCAAAAAAGAGAATATTCATATGAAAAAATATTTTACAGACATTTACCTGACAACCACTTCCCTGACAGCTATCTTCCCGACAATTCTTTCCCCGGCATAACCATTTCCCCGACATGACCTTTCCCAACATGACGTAATTGTTGGGGAAATGGTCATTTCGGGGAAATAATTTCGGTGAAATGGTTGTGGGGAAATGGTTATGTTGGGAAAATAGTTGTCGAGTAGATTTCTATGCTCTTTAACGTTAACGTTACAGAGCCTTTTTTTCAAACATATATTATATGAAATAAAGTAAAACTAGTTGTAAAACCTGATTGTATCATGAAAATTAAAAAAGTATGTCATTGATAGTTTTTTGCAACTACAGTCAAACCTCCATACATGCATCCTCCTTGGAACCGACCATTAAGTGTGTATTTGTAGAGGGTGTGCATTTATAGAGTAATTTTAGAAGTGTCATTATTAGTTGGAACTGAGACATGGGGTGCATTTATAGAGCGTGCATATATAGTGGGAAAATGACTGTTACATTATGGAGCACATCTCAAAGAATCTAAAAACATATTATTTATATGTTCTCTTTCGAAGAAGACGACCATAAGATTTTATTAAAAAAAAAGTTAATTGGTGATTTTCATTTATGACGTCGCATAATTTTGACTTACGTACGTACTTGGATGATAGAACACCCACTCTTTTACAGTACATAGCATTTTTAATTATTCGAAAATCGTCTTTAATATTAAGCTTTGGTCTTATTAGAACCGTTCTAAAAAATATAACAGATTTATAATGTAATAAATTATTTTTATGATCTTACCTTTTTGGTGTTATTGACCATCTAACTAATTTAGTATGGTGATTGTTAAAGCCCCACATGAGGCAGTGTGCATATTGACACGATAGCGTGAAGCCTCTGACGTTATAAAGTAGGTTCCTAAACGTGTTGTCTTGCAAAATGTAGAATAAACAGGAGAACTTCGTTTCCATTATTAACGTTAAGTTCACACCTTCATTAATTCGCCTTATAGGATTACTATGCCCTTAGAAAACCTCATATCATTCAATCCACATAACTTCTAGTAGCGGGCGTCGCTCTCTCAGTCAACCGTTATAGTAATTTCCCATATTGTTATCACGGGACTCAGGATTCACAATCCAACAAATTGAAAGCAGCGATAATATATCTGGTTTACTAAAATTGTAGTCTGTCGTTTTAACAGATTAATTTTATGCCCGTCATCTGTTAACATAAATATGTGAGTGATCAAATTTCTAGGAGTTCTAATTTTGATTATCTCGAATTTAGAGATTCAACATAACAGCACAAATTCAGTCCTGCAAAAAATCCTATCTTAAATTATTCAAAAAAAAAAAACGAGCTTTCTGTTTTGGCAAAAAAAAAAACAAAAAGTTTCTTCCGAGATTTAATCTAAATGCATTAGTCACTTGCTTGTTCATTTAAGTAATGCTTTAAAAGGTGATAACAAAACTTCTGTGAAATCTTAGTTTTTAGCTACGTACAAAATTTGCATTTCAATATGATTATATATATTTATATGTTTAAAATAGTACAAATAGCATTTTCTAAAATTATAGTTTAAGAATGACGTGTTATTACTGTTTTCGAAATGGTTGAAATCGGGTAAAAAGTATACTCGTATACCGTATGCATATAACGGATTACTTAGCTGTTAGACATTAAAATCGCCCAATAATACATTCATGTCACGAGATCTCAACGCCATCCATGTAGGGTTGTTAAACGTTCGGTCAGCCCCAGAAGTCGAATAAGTATCAGACCTAGACTCAAATATGATGAGAGAAGTATAGTTGGTTTAATGGAATTCAATGTACGTATGTACACGTAAAATTTCACATTTTAGTATAAATTGAAAACCGCTCTTGCTATATCTATTCAAATATCATGTATGTAGTTATTGAATAGACACTTAAAAAAAGCTCTGTTAACATCCCTACAAACATGCCGTCCAATCACGTGACTAGTTTCACGTTTCGTAATGCTGTAATGCATATGCGCAGAACACTAAACCTTTTGACAAGTATTCTTTCAAAATATACCCCGATCACTATATCAATATTACGGGTATTTAGCAAAAATACCCTGATCCATATGTGTACAAGCGGAAACGGCTCAGGATATTTTTATTACAAATCCTTGGTGTGATATGCAAGTTTTCTAAGTGCTAAACATTTTCCAACCGTTTAAATTACTTGTGAATGAGATACTGAAAGAATTTGATACAGTGAAACTTTTATAAATGCACCCTCTATAAATGCACGCTCAACCTCTGGCCCAAATATATGCATGA